AGGTCCCCGGGCACGAGTTTTCTAACACAGTCCCATAGACAATCTCCCACAGAGGGGCAGAGGAAGACCTCTGGCTGTTCATTAAGTTAAGAAATCAAAAAGGAATGGCATATTCTCCTAGCCCCTGAGGAAGAAACTAATCACTAGCTCAGAAATATTGAGGCATAAGGCTGTTCTCAATTTTTGTATTTTTTTAATTCCATCTACTTTTGAAGCTACTCCTGGGAAGTCCTGACCACAGCCCTCTCGGCCCTCGGGTTTCTAGAAATGCCCAGAGCGAAGACCTTGAAAAGCAAAGAACTGAGAAAATCAGAAATCCTTTGGCCTCACAGCAGAAACAAGGTAGCAGGTCTTTATTCATGCCAGAACACTTTAAGGAGGGGGAATGACACCTACATCTTCTGATCTTAGTCAGTTGCCATCAGTGCCCCTGTACTCACTGTTTCCAGCACTTTTTGAGGCCAAGGTGGGAGGATCATTTGAGCCCAGGAGTTCAAGACCAGCCTGGGCAACACAGCAAGACCCTGTCTCTACAAAAAAATTAAAAATTAGCCAGGTGTGATGGTGTGCACCTGTAGTCCTACCTACTTGGAAGGCTGAGGCAGGAGGATCACTTGAGCCCAGAAGTCCAAGGTTGCAACGAGCCATGATCACACCACTGCATTCACTCCAGCCTAGGCGACAGAGGGTTTTTTTTTTTTTTTTTCCCTCTAACTGACACAGGATAGGCAAAGGAGCTTTTTGGTTTGTTTTTTTTTAAAGAAAAAGAAAAAAAAAAAGGAAAGAAAAAAGAACTGTGTGGACAAGTAACAGAAAAGCAATGTTAAGGTAAACCAAAGCATAAACTTAATCTCTTGCATTTTTCCCCTCCTTCTGATCTTCTAATCTTCAATCTGCTCCTCCTTTCCACAGCCAGAGACAGATCCCAGATATATCTTACATTATGCATTTGCTGTGTTACTGAAAAATTATGTGTGAATCCAAATTTGGCAAATTGAATCATATTTTAAAATCCTATTTAAAGAAAGTCCATGGTGAATAATCTGTTTGAAAAAGTAAGCATTCTTCTCAGAGGAAGGACCCACACATACATTTGTTAATTTTTATTTGTATACTGGGCACTCACCCTGTACAAGGCTGTGTGTCAGGCACTCAGGAGACACAAATATACCCACAGCCCTCCTTTCCTTAAGAGTTTATCTTACTGCCTCAAGAGAGTCTGAAACAAATTATTTATTTTCAAGAAAAAGCTGAGAATAAGAAAAGCTTTTACTATAATTTATCAATTCTAAAATATACTTTTTTCACATTTTTAAACTTCTGGATTCAGGAGGTGTGTTATAACTGATGCATCCTCCCAAGTTATCCTCCAGGCTGCAGTGGTGACAGAGCTGCCACTGCCTCTGGATGCAAGTGGTTTGCAAGTGTTGACCCTTCAGTTATGTGCCATGTTGGAACTACATGTGTTGAGTTAAACTGTTGTTCAAAATGTGTTCAGAAGGATTACAGTATGATCTAGAATTCAAATTAAAAATAATTGTACACATAGAAAGGTATGGAAATGGCAATGAGGCATGACTTTGTTATCAGTGAAGCAAATACTTCTCACTAGTGGAACATTCCTAATTCTATATTTTCCTGTAAAGCAACCACCATGCATTAAGTGATGACAAGGCAGTGTGTTATACTTTAATTGACAGTCTTTTGTTTCCTTAGTGGTATAAAAACAATGGTGTATCTGATAAAGAATGATGACTCAGATTCAGTGGAATACAGTAAGTATTGAGCCCCTACTCTGGGAAAAGAAATGCACTAAAAGCCTTGTGTATGTCAACTTACTTACCCCTTAGAGTAATGGTAGATATTATTCTGGTTTTACAAATAACCCCTTGCCCAGGCTCCACAGCTAGTGGGTCTGAAAGAGTCTGGACAGGAACCCCTGTGTCTGCTCTACTCTATCCCTAGCTAGGCAAATTCCTATGATGCCAGAACATTAGTCAGAGTTTGAAAGGTCAGCTCCTGCTACTCCACCCCCTCTCCTCCAGTCCTTACTCATTTCTCCCCACCCAGTGATGAGAACAAGATGCTAGAGTTTATCCCTCAGGCTAATGACCAAATCACGCATCTGGCCTTGGGAGAGCCCTATCCTAACCATAACTAACTATCTTTTCTCCGCCTTTCAATTACCACCTTCTAATATATATAAACCTAAAATGGATTTTCTGCAGCAGCCTAAGGCACAAGTCTTCTCTATTTTGGCCAAACAGTTGCAAAATCCAGTGCTCCACCTTTCTTCTGACTTGATCACCCAACTCTGCCATGTGTTTCCATTGTCAACTTCTTAGCAACAGCCCCATGAGAAACAAGAGTGAAGCAATCACACAAACTCCAATGGACAGGAGGGACTGGAGATTTAGTCTATTATCCCCAGGTTCTGTGGGCTGATGAAGGTTAGCCTTTTAGCTTGGGAAGCGTATAACATGACAAGCTGGGTATCTAAGTTAAAAAGCTACACTGGATGTCATGAACTGGAAAGCTAAAGGTATCTTTAGTCATATGAAACTATCTTCAACTGACACAGGATAGGCAAAGGAGGAAATATTCAAAAGGAATAGAGAAAAACCGAATTTACAATTTTAACTTTACCTACCCATTCTTTGCATTCTACTTAATAGAATTAATTTGATTCTACTTAATAGAATCAAATCCATGGAGTATGTTCTTATTCCAACTTGAACATCACCTATTTTAAAATAAGAGTAGGGGAGTGGTGGACTTGGAAATCTCTTTTCCAAATTGACACAAGCAGGCAGGCTCTCAGGATTTCAGTTTAGAATAGAATCCAATTCTCCTAACATCTAGATATGAAAGTAATGTCTAAACAATAACCTATCTCACTGAACAACATATTGACCAAAAACAAAACTCTCATAATACATGATTCCAACTGAGATTTCTTTGGGAAAATCCAAATGAAACGATGAATTTGTCTTTGGTTTGTTCGAATACTACAATTTTCCATAGACACAGGGCCATACTAAATTATGTTCACAGCCTAATTTGTAAACATTATGCATCAAGGTTTTCATGTGCCATGAATATTAAATTAAATTTAAAAATTAACTCATATTATTACATTATGCTCATTTCTTCAAAAATGACTAAAAACAATTTTTTGACCATTAAAGTAGTATGGATTCGATTCAATCTTAATTCATCTTTAGACTTCTCCTGATAGGCCAATAGCTCACAACCACGTTTTTCCACTGATGCAAGAAATGGAGCTAGGTCAGGATGCTGCTAAGATAAGCAGGCATAGGAACATGAGTCTGAAAGAACAGAGTCAGGAAAGAAGAAACAGAAAGAAACCACAAATATGAGAATGGTGCCAAGATTTCAACTCTGAGCAAAGGATAGGAGAATAAGAGCAATAAAAGAGATAGAGGACACAGGAGAAAGGTGGCACAGGGTGTCGATGAAGAACGAAATGTTCTGTTGAACCTGATGAGTCTGATATGTATACATAGCACCTATAGGAACATGTCCACCAGGAAGTCAGAAAGGACTCACTGCACCTCAAAAGTCCAAAGTAGATACAGACATGGAAGCCAATCCCGAGAGAGACAAGCTGAAATCATGAGAACAGCAGAAATAACAAGAAATCAGCAGGAGAAAGCACAGAATTCACCAAAGACCCAACCCTGGGGCTGTTGGCAATGGGAGGACAGAGGAGTAAGAATCTGTGAAGAAGGCCAAGATGGAACAGGTCAGAGAGGCAGACAAACCAAAAGGGTTCCAGGATCTATGCTACATGCAAAAAGAAAAGTCACCTGCATCAGAGATCGCAGAAAGAGTAGGCAGAAAGCAGGATAAGAGGGCTACTGGACTGGGTGCTTTGTTGGTGTAGTGGGGCAGAGACCATTGTGATAAGAAATTGGAGATACAAAGGTAGGAAAAGAAGCCGTATTTGTCCACTCTCCCAATAAAGCCTGAGACTGTTAGAGAGAAAGGAATAGGACTGTAACTTGAGGGATAACATGAAACAGGAATGAATCAGTATTTTGTCAACCAGAGGTATCACCACATAATGAGAAAAGGCTTTATGTACATCTGGCACAGGTATGATTAAAGTATGGAAATAGACAACAACCATTCTGCCTATTAAAACTCTCGTGTTCCCCATCTCCTGCACACACACACACACACACACACACACACTTTGTACTAAATAGTGCCTTTACAATACAGATATAAAAAGAGGACCTGTATTACAATGAAAGCGTCATTCAAGAACTGAATGTCATAAACTATATATTTGGAAATGCACCTTGTAAGTTTTACATCAACATTTTACCCAAGAGATTATCTGTTAATTTTTGAAATGACCTGCTACTTTCATGTCTTTTGTTGTCTAAACTTGGCAGCATCATGGATCATTAGAAAAAATACCTATAAAAATATAATTAACCATAGTTAACTTCAGAGTTGTACTGAAAATATTAGTGGGCCGGGCGCAGTGGCTTACACCTGTAATCCAACCACTTTGGGAGGCCAAGGAGGGCGGATCACTAGAGGTCAAGAGTTCAAGACCACCCTGGCCAACATGGCAAAACCCTATCTCTACTAAAAATACAAAAAATTAGCTGGGTGTGGTGGTGCACACCTACGATCCCAACTACTTGGAAAGCTGAGAATCACTTTAACCCAGGAGGCAGAAGTTGTAGTGAGCCAAGATCACACTACTGCTCCAGCCTGGGGACAGAGTGAGACTCTGACTCAAAAAAAAAAAAGAAAAGAAAAGAAAAGAAAATGTTAGCAAAGTATAGTATTTACACTGTGATACTAAACAACCCTTAAAACCTCCCAAATACTGAAGATCTTTCCCACATCCATACACTGTCATAGCACATGCTCTATGTTTACCTATAAATATTGCTTTTAATCATTAAATGGTTGACAAGGTTGAAGTTATGAGAAATGGTTATGAAAGCAGCAAATACCTGAGGTACTCACAGCTGTGGAGTAGGGGTTATGAGCTCCAGTATTTTCAGCCCAGCAGCCACATCCATAAAGAGCAGCCTGGGGAAAAAAGAAAATAGATATAATATTTCAGAAATATCATATGTAATTATTAGTTTTCAACAGAAATCATACCCATCTAATAAAGCCTGGTTTAATAATGATATAAAACAACTAGGTGATAATACCAGATGTTGTATATGACCCACCCGCACGATGCTTTTAATATTATCAAAACTATGTTTTCAGATATTCCATTCATCTAAAAACTTTCAGAAAATAGCAAAAGAAAGTTTCTTAGTGTCATCAGCAGTAATTTTTTCCTTCCCTGAAAAACTTCTCCCTTTTGTAATTTGTCAGCTAGTTGTTCTTCTGGCCCCTTAAAACCAATGTGGTTGGCTTAAAATAGTAGTTTTCAAACTAGGTGTGTGTCAGATTACTGGGGGAGCTTACTGATAAGAACTCTGATTCCTGGGAATTCTGATTTAGTGTCTGGGAAGACCTGGGAATCAATACTGTTAACCAGGGTCATGGGGTACTGGGATGCAGCTGGTCCTCCTGCCATGCTCTAGGAAATCCTGCTTCAAGAGGGCCTTTTCCATGTCTGTGTCGAACTGGCACAAGAGGAAGTACAAACAGTCCTGTATCAAAGGGTCCAATATACACTCACCATTGTGCTAGAGTCAGCCAGATGAAAAGAAAGGAGGCAAAAAAGCCTCCTTTCTTTTGTTCAAGCTCGTCACTTTGTTAGGTGGTAGAGCAGATTTATACATCTGAAACCATCAGGAACACAATAAGCTACTATGGTTTTATAAAAGATTAGGATGATCATTCCTATTTTGTTTTAATAATGCTACTTCTCTTCGATATCCACAATGACTTTTCTGACTTTGGGAGGGAAATCACAACTAACAACTTTTCCACTCCATAGTAAGAAGTAGAAATTAAAATTAAAAAAAAAAAAAAAACCTAGCTAGCTAGCTATCATAGAAAAATACAAGGAGGCACGCTCAACAGTTCATTACTACATGGTTGATAAGAATAAGAAACTTGAAACAACCTAAATGTCAATCAGTAAGGAAATGGCTAAATAAACCCTGGCATGGCAGTATGTGGAATTCATTGCAAAGGTTAAAAATAAAAGAATTAAGCTTTTTAAAAAATCTTTAAGAACAAATACAGAAAGATCTCCCAAACATATTGTTGAATTGAAAAAAAAAGCAAACTACAACATTCAGTATTCTCTGCCATTGATGGAGGGAAAAGATACTCCCATAAAGCAGTACTGATATTTCCTAGGAGTTCATTCTGAGGACTGGGGAATAGGCTAAGACTGGGGATGGTGAGCAGACTTCAGCTTTCTATGATATTCTGTTATTTTTTACAAGGATCTTAAAAATCATTAGCTCCAATATTCTACCCAGAGCAGGAATCTCCATGAAACATCTGAGGCACTTCTGACACTGAGAACCTCACTACCCCATGTGGGAACACATTCCATTTTCGGACACTTTCCACTGGTAACAAATATCTGCTGTATCACAACTTCCAACCACTAGTCCTGGCTCTGATTTCTGGAAGTATTGTAACCTCCCCAGAAAGTCCTCTAATTTTTTAAAAACAGCTATTCTAGTTCTCTTTTCTAACCCAAAGAAACCCAAATTTGTGAGCTGTTCCCAAGACTTTGCGATGCACAAACCCACCACTCTCTCATAATTACCCTCCTAGAGAAATAAGTCAGTGTCCAGGATAACCAGAGATGAAGTCTTCCATGTTCATGTGACCCACAGTTGCTGTCTCCAGATGTTACTGAAATACCCCTCTTAAAAGCAGAACCAAGAACTGAGCAGGATACTCTCAATATGGTAGACAGTGGGAAATCTGTTTACTGCCTCTGAAAACACCATGCTTCTAAAATACATGCTGGCTCAGGGTCAGTGTGGCAACTGAAAGCCCTTCAGAAGTGATTTAGAATATGAATTTATAAATAAACTAGCAGACCTGTGGGATAACTATTCAACTGGTACTCCCTAAAGCAAGGGCTGGATCAGCCGAAGTCTCAGAGAACACAAGAAATCAATGGAAGGACCCATTCTTCCTTCATTGAAAACTCTGAACTGCCCATCATCATCATCTTTTACATTTCCCACAATTAACATGACCAGGAGCCTGCACTCAAAAAATAGTAAATAAGGTCCCAAGGACACCTCTTAGAAAGCCAGGGAAGGTCATCTTTCTAGAAAAGAACATTTACACTTACCCTTTGTTCCTTCCCTTTAAGAAAATTCCCTTTATGATGCTCTTCCTTAGTCTCAAGACCTAAAACTGTCTTCCTTCTTAACCTTCTGAAATTCACTGGGCTAAGACAGTGATAGGTAAGATAAAAGAATTAGAGGTTGTCCATCTGTTATCCACTTGTTTGGATAAAATACGGCAAGCTTAAGCAAGCCTTTAAAAACAAATTTTTAAAATCTTATTTCTTTTTGGTAGTAAAACTGTATTAAAATTTTATTAAAGTTATGCAGTAAAATAAGGTCATATAAATGATATTATTATTAATCTTCTCTGGGCCATAGTTTCCTCTTCTATACAATAAGAATAATGAAAATATCTACCTCATATTGTCACAGGATCATGTGAATTAACATACTTGCTGAACACAGCAAGTGCTTAATTAACACTAGCTCTAGCTATTATTACTAAGGGCTATAATATGTAATTTAAATGCATTTTGACATTGAATCTTCTACAAGTTTGTAAGGTAGCTGGTTATCCCCATTTTACAGAAGTAGAAAGTGGAGCTGAAAGATGTTAAGTAACTTGTTCAAAGTAAGGGGCATGGTAAGTGGGGAGGTGGGATTAGAATAGAGGTTTACCTAGATCGAAAGTCCACACTTAACCAGTAAACTCAACCGCCTATTTGTCTGGGGGTGGTGTGAAGTTTAGGGGGAACAAGTGAAATATAATAATTCCTTTCTCATGTCCAAACTGTAAATTCAAATAATTACAGTAAGCTAAAGAAGCAAATAAGTTCTAATTCAAATTCCCATTTCTTATCTTTTTTTAGAGACAGAGTCTTGCTCTGTCTCCCAGGCTGGAGTGCAGTGGCATGTTTGGCTCACTGCAACCTCAGCCTCCCAGGATCAAGCAATTCTCCTGCCTCAGCCTCCCCAAGTAGCTGGGATTACAGGTGTCAGCCCTCATGCTCAGATAATTTTTGTTTTGTTTTGACACGGAGTCTCAGTCTCACCCACACTGGAGTGCAATAGTGAGATCTCAGCTCCCTGCAACCTCCGCCTCCCAGGTTCAAGCGATTCTCCTGTCTCAGCCCCCCAAGTAACTGGGATTACAGGCTTGCACCACCATACCCAGCTAATTTTTGTATTTTTTAGTAGAGACGGGTTTCATCATGTTGGCCAGGCTGGTCTTGAACTCCTGACTTCAAGTGATCTACCCGCATTGGCCTCCCAAAGTGCTGGGAATTACAGGATGAGCCACTGCACCTGGCCTAATTTTTGTATTTTTAGTAGAGATGGCATGAGCCAAAGTGCTGGGATTACAGAAAACAGTGAGAAAGTCATGGGACTACAATGCATTGACGGTGACTCTGCTGGCTTTTCTCTCACCTTCTCTACTTCTCTTTCTCTATGAGGTTTCACCATGTTGGCCAGGTTGGTCTTGAACTCCTGAACTCAACTGATCTGCCCACCTCAGCCTCCCAAAGTGCTGGGATTACAGGAGTGAGCCACTGCGCCTGGCCTCAAATTGCCATTCACCATCTGCACTGCTATCATATATCTACAGCAGGGTAATATGCTAAAATTTTTAAGTAGTTAATTGTGCATTTAACATACATTAAAAGTATCTAGTTTCAGCACACTTTAAAAAATAATTAGCCTTTGATATAACTTACTTTTGTATTTTGTTTCATTTGGGCTTGTCAAAAAGAACTGTTCTTTACCTCTCATCTGATACTTACATAGTTTCAAGTTTATTACATCTCCTCTATCCAAGCATTATAATCCAATTAAGCAACTGCATTTTCCTATAAGCCCTTTTACTCTTATTTCACACTCTTTCCTGATTTTATAACTCTCAGAAGCTAGGTATTCATAAACTAGCCAAGTGAGGCAAATCAACACATAAATTTTACAGAAGTATTTCTTTTGCTCAGGACAGTTCTAAGTGCAGGGGCAGAACAGCTTCAAGACTGTTAGACGTAATATCCTGCTAACATAATCCAGAACCATCCTTAGTTCTGCTGTTGCTATTTTGCTAACCAAAACAAACAGAAAACAGTGAGAAAGTCATGGGGACTATAATGCATCAAAGGTGACTCTGCTGGCTTTTCTCTCACCTTTTCTACTAGGGTATCTAAATCTGATATGCCAAGTTTGATTTTCCTATTGCAAACTTGACAAATACACAGGACTTTATAACGTAAGAAAAATACCATGACCAGACAAAGGCTTTTATAATGAGTTCAAAGCACTGTACACACATGGAGTAATCATTCCCTATACAGCCCCTTGTACACTAGGCAGAGTAGCACAAAACTCATTATTCTTCCCTTCCCCTTTTTCCTAGTCTAGGAATGTAAGCAGCTTAGAGCAGATCAAGCAACATCACTTTGGGGTCTAGGAATGTAAGCAGCTTAGAGCAGATCAAGCAACATCACTTTGGGGTGTGCAGTGATATTCTTCATGAATTGGATCTCTCTGCTTCAAATAGTAACTAACCGTCATGAACAAAGTAACTGTGACATTGACTCTTCTTCAAATGTGACAAAGTACACAAAGCATAACAAGACACATTCCATGTATAAGATGCCACCTAAATACTGAGTTTAAATGAACCCTTGCAACTAGTCCATGAGAGTATCCAATTCATTTGTTCACTCAACAAATATTTATTAAGCCCACAAGTAATGTGCCAAAATTGGTTTATCCTCAGAAATCTTCCTAGATCAAATGGATTGTTAAATTTCATTCTCAGTATAAAACTAAAGATCGGAGACGGCGGGAGGGGCAAAGTGAAGAGGATGTGCAAATGAACTGAGGACAAGCAAATTTTACATAAATTAGAGCAATCTCCTTTCTAGATTTTTTAAGTGATACCATGTGTTGGTGACCTGAAATACTGGTTATTTTATAAAATGGCTGAAATGCTTGATCAGAGGAGGGATGTAAAGGGCCAAATGTCACTATACATGGAATAGAGGAAATAAAAAATGTAACTCTAAAATCATTTATCCAACTAAAAAGCAAGCAGGATAGTCAAGTAGAGCTTGTTCCTAAAGAGAGTGATATTTACAGAGAGCAAATGGAAACTGGCACACATTTATGAAATTTCTACTAAATACCCAGGCCAGTGCCCAGCCTGCTGAAAGTGGCAAAACTAGGATCACCCATTGTAAAGATGAGAAACAAACCAATTACTATGAGATAGATTTTCTTAAAAAGAATCTTAAAAAGGTATTTGGTTGATGATTTATACTAGATGTTAAAAAACAATTATATTCATTTTTTTCTAAAGAAAAAATGTTCCCACTGGTTAAAAAATTGTAAGCTGGACCGGGCACAGTGGCTCATGCCTGTAATCCCAGCACTCTGGGAGGCCGAGGTGGGTGGATCATGAGGTCAGGAGATAGACACCATCCTGGCTAACACGGTGAAACCCCGTCTCTACTAAAAATACAAAAAAATTAGCTAGGCATGTTGGCGGGTGCCTGTAGTCCCAGCTATTCGGGAGGCTGAGGCAGGAGAATGGTGTGAACCTGGGAGGTGGAGCTTGCATAGAGCTGAGATCATGCCACTGTACTTCAGCCTGGGCAAAGAGTCTCCAGACAGACTCCAGTGAGACTCTGTCTCAAAAAAAAAAAAAAAAAATTGTGAGCTAAAAATTCCATGCTTTACTTTGAAAGGCTAGTTTAAAAAACCCGTAATTACTTACCTGCCCAACTCTCCCCGGATGTTTCAAGGCCAAGCCTCCACTGGAGACAGCAGCAGCAACATTCCCTTCGTGGTCCACAACCACAGCGCCCACCGTGTCCAAAGTGCCTGAGTCATTTTCCTGTAGAGCAAAAGTGGCACAAGTATTCACTAGGCATGGCGTGGGACAATCTGATAGGACTATATAGCACTTTTCTGTACAATCATGACACAACAAAATCTAAACTAATCCCTAAGTGGAACATTGAGCAATCTGCTAAAATTATCAATTAACAAGTTGCCATTTAAATCCTATTTAAGTCAAAATGTATTTTCCACAGAGAAATCCCGAACAAAAGGTGTCCTGTTGCTTTTCTCTAATAATAAGGCTATATTGTCTTTTTAATGGAGGACATATCACAATTTAATATAAATTACAGTATACAGCAGTGTCTCTTCATTCTCAAGAATTAAGTTCATGTTTGAGAATGTGTAGAGGAAAAGATCTGTGGCATAAATGAACCAATAAATACCCTTGTTAGTATTTCTTTAAGTATTATACACAAACATCTAATAGAAATACATTCTACACAATAAATTAAGAAAATGGCATTTACAATCTTAAAGTATACCACACTATCATTTTTCTCTTAGAGTTCCTTGTTTGTGAGAAACTTCATGGCAAGCTCCCTTCTCTCCTATAACAGTAAGATGCTTGCCAATTGTATGGCAGAAAAGTGTATGTTCTTGGAAAGCCTCTTTGTGTTTCGATGTTTTGTTCCAGGTTCCACATGTTTAAGGCACTTAGTGACATTTAGTGACTATGAACAGCTGTCTCCTACCTCCAAAGTTTCTGGTCACCTGTGCAAGAGAGACAAACACTACACTACTGGATAGAAATAATGTTTAAGGGAGGCAAGAAAAAAATTCAGGGAAGAAGAAGTCTCACATATTAAAAAGGGGGCTTAAGGTAGGTTTTTAGGTTAATAGTAGTCATGGTAGTGTTCTTATGCTAGGACATTGGTTTTCAAACCTTGCCCCTCAACCCTAGATCCCACCCTTACCCCCACCACCAGTATGCATGTAAGAGCCAGGCCCAACGCAGGGTTCAACATGAACAGATCCCCATCCTGTGTGGTTTATTGCTCACACTACTGAGCAGGACTTGGTTAGTACTAAGAGATCCACAAGAAGCAAAATGACACACTAAAGCAATCACCAGAAAAGTCAATGAGTTCCTGGGGCCATCTCAGAAGCTGAGCAACATTGAAGAGTTTCTAATACTGGAAGCAGAATTCAAACAAGAGATTTTTCCCTAAAGCAAACTGGAAAACTCAGGAGTAGAGTGTGCCACAACAAAATTTTACATTAAGTCTGTTAGGAAAAGATACTTACATCTAGAATTTATATTTCTTGCTCTACATTCTAATTTCCTTAAATATTCTGATATACTATGACAGTACTTACTTTGATAGGAAATGCTGAACTGGCTGAAAAGAATGCTATATGCCTAATCCCTCTTTTAACCACAGTTGGAGAAAGTCTAGACAATGGATCCACATGATCATATCTCAGAATGCCATAGTTCTGCTCAAGGCATGTGCCCTTCAAGAATACTTCCTAACCTGGCCATACACTCCCTGAGGAAGGGTTTGATCCACTCCATATCACACTGAATTCAATAGACACTCAGGACATACTTATTTTTTAATTAGGATGCAGGATATCTGTATCCCTGGTGTTACAAAACATGCCCAATAGTGAATACCATGCAATGCCATCCCAGTGTCAGGGCCAGTTTTCTACCTCCGTTTCACGAGATTTGACTTCATGCAAATCCAGATGCTGCCGCTATCTTAGGGAAGACTTAACAATAACCAGACTCGCTCGTTCAGGTTGGACAAAGCAAAGTCTATCTTCTCTGCTAGGTAAGATTAAGAACAGCAGTACAGAAATGCATTAAAAACATTTTATTCCAGAAAAGATGGATAATCTTAAAGAGAAATATACTTTTAAGAGGAATATTTGTTTTATAATTCTAATAAATAATTTCTAAATCTTTATATTCTTGCAATCTCGAGTAGAGAAGTGTTAGTTCCCCAGATGCCAAATTTGATGTCTTCTTTAGGAAGGCTTCTCAAATTTTAATGTGCACACAAATCATCAGGAGAATTTGTTTCAATGCAGATTCTGATGGAGCAATCTGGGAACTATCCAAGACCGCACACCTAACAATATTCCACATTATGCTAACGGTCTAACAGCATCCCACCCCAGGGGATCATTATCCACCAAATACCTGCCCCATTCATTCTCAAGCAAACTATTTACAGGCACAAATCTGCTTAAGGAGAAAGGTAAACTACCTAAGGCTAACACTATGCCAGTATAAAAGATTTAAGTTCTATCTTACTCAACTGTCAACTGACAGCTTATCACCACTATTATACTACATGGATTTGGTATGTGTATTTTAAAATACTGATCTTACACCTTTAAAAAGCAAACAAATCTCATACAAATAAACAAACTGTAAAATAACTTTCCTCAACAATAACAGAAAAGTAAAGAAAGGGTATTCTTTTAAGATTATTTTTTGGAAATACTGAGTTTTTATTGAGAGACATATGCCAGTACTTTTTGCCCTTATTCTTTGTTATAAAATTCTGGAAATTTTTACACACTTTTTTCCCTAGCCCAAGTAAGGCATAAAGTGACTGTCTCCATCAGGCCTACCAAATAAGGATAATTGCTTCCGGTAAATAATCAAATTGGGACTTTCATCCTATTTCACTGTCTAACCTTTGAGGGACAGTTATGTCTCTTTTTTACATTTTAGTTATTTTAATGGATAAAGATTATCTATATTTATGGTATACAGCACGATGTTTTGACACAGGCACCGACTGCAGAAATCAAGCTAATTAACGTATACATTACCTCACCGAATCATTTATTTCTGGCGAGAATGCTTACAACCTACTCTCTTAAGGGTATTTTTCATTAGTTCTTTTTTATAAACTGCAACTGCTGATACTACCCATGCATTCTGTAAAACATAATTTTATACAGGGGATAAGTAACGTATACACAATGCTATGCATTATCTGTAAAGCACTTTTCCTAGCATTTCAATCAGGATATTGTGAAGCATGAGAACTGTTATGCCTAACCAAACTCCTATAGAAAGATACAAAAACTGATGTCAGTGTAACTGGATTATACATAGATGGATTTACTCTTAACTTGGTTTTCAAAAATGAAAAATCACACAAATAATAGAGAATCCTATTCCAAATTAAGCTAAATATTCCTAAGAGCCTGTAACACCTAAAAAAAAATCAGAATTACTTCATAAATATTCAAGAACTAGTTCATAGACTTCACATACTGCACAGCAAATTTAAGGATGATGAAGTAATATTTAAGCATTTTTATGAAGTGCAGATAAATTAGGTGAAAGACAAACATTGGTATTTTGGCCATAATAATTTCACAGAGCTTGGTTGTACAGGAATGAAATCTTAGAAAGGTTAAAAAACATACAATGACTGTTACTATACAGAGCTACTATTACACTCTTACACTCTATAAATACTTAAAAATATATGCACTACACGGATACACATATACCTATTGTCCTTGACTAAAACATGCTATTTCTATTACTTTTTTGATAAAGTTGTAACTAAAAAGCAACTGTATAAAACTATAGTTCCCTTCAAAATAAACATGTATAGAAAGTTAGCAGACAGGTTACATGTGTTAAAGAAAACATTGAAATAAAACTTTCTTGAAGTAACCAATAAATAAGCAGTCCCTGTTTTCTCTGCTCCAAATAGAGATGGTTATTATGTAGTTATTATAAGAATTAAATTAACACATGTAAACTACTTTAAAAGGAATAAATCCCTTAATACAAAGTTAAGGCACTTGCCACCAAAAAATTAAGCTTCTAATCTGCACTCTCTGAAATCTGCCAAGAAACCCATCTCAGTATTCTTTTTTTTTTTTTTTTTTTTGAGACAGAATTTTGTTCTTGTTGCCCAGGCTGGAGTGCAATGGCGTGATGTTGGCTCACAGCCTCAGCTTCCCGAGTAGCTGGGATTACAGGCACCCACCACCACACCCAGCTAATTTTTTTGTATTTTTAGTAGAGACGGTGTTTCACTATGTTAGCCAGGCTGGTCTTGAACTCCTGACCTCAGGCGATCCACCTGCCTCGGCGCCTGGTAAGCCACCATGCCCAGCCCCAGCTACCAGGTCTTTTATCTTATTAACTCGGTCTTTCTTCCATCCAGAATTATTCAAACATCAAGTAGCTAAAATATAAGAATAAACCTTAAATGTATAAGTGCGTTCTAAAATAGGTCTATTATGGGATTATCTTAATTTAATGATAAAGACAGAAATGCATTCTTTGAAAACATACCAACCCCTCCTCATATACCTTTGTTAGGTTTGAGAGCAGCATTATAACTGGCATGAGCTTCCACTTGAGAAATGCAGATGACTTACACCCTAACATGACAGTACAACAATGCCATCATAAAGCTTTCACATCTCTGAGTATCCTAAACATAGAGAGAGGCTCCTGCTACAGAACATCTAGACCTAGTTCTATATCTCTCACAAATCAGCCCTCCAACAGCAGGGCCACTGTGGGCTACAGTTTATCAACTATCTGTAAACAAAGTATAATCTAGCTAGGCCAGGCTGGGTGGCTCATGCCTGTAATCCCAGCACTTTGGGACGCCAAGGTGGGTGGATCTCCTGAGATCAGGAGTTCGAGACCAGCCTGGCCAACATGGTGAAACCCTGTCTCTACCACAAATAACAACAACAAAAAAAAAATTAGCTGGGCATGGTGGGGTGCACCTGTAGTCCCAGCTACTCAGAGACTGGGAGAATCACTTGAACCCAGGAGGTGGAGGTTGCAGTGAGCGGAGATCACGCCACTGCACTCCAGCCTGGGTGACACAGTGAGACTCTGTCTCAAAAAATAATAATAATAATTTAGCTAGAATTATTTACTCTCACCTATGTGGACTGCATGAAACCAGAAAAAATCTCAACATAGGAACACTCAGTGATATTATCTTCCCTCTTCAGAAAATCATCTTCTGATGCCCAATACTATTA